AGATGTACAAAATATACTAATCGGCATAACACTGATCATTGCCAAGTTTACGCCCAAAGACCTTTGCCCAGAATAAGAGCACAGGGTTTCTAGATCGGTCATTCTAGGGGCCAGTGGTGGTTGGTTCGATCTCAAATTGCCCATTATTGTGGTCCTCTCTGATCTTTGCGAAACAATATACACACTGCAATTGGTCGAGAGAAAAATAAAAATAGGAGGAAAAAACAACAACAAAAACAACAACAACGCTTTCAATTGCGCATCCTAAAGGACTGGCACAGGATAAAGTGCACTTTTACTTATTTTAGTGAACTTTTACTTATTTAAGAGCACTTCTTTACTTAGGCGGCTGCTCTTAGCTGGAAGTAACTAAGCCGGTGCGCTTAGCCCCCCAGGCAAACACACGCGAGCTTGTGCCACCCTTGCCACCTGCTGTGAAGCAATCTCGTCGTCATCATCATCCTCACGATCCATGGGGCAGATAGCCCCGCAGCTGTCCACTGCACGTTTGTTTCCACTTTCCTCCTCTGCCTTGCAGCGCCAACATGCTGAAATAGCGTCACGTGTTGCTGGCCCCGATCTCTTGTGATGTCGTCGTCAAGCCATGACTCTGTTAGGTCTTCCTCTTTTTTGCCGTTCCATCCATTTTGCGAACAACACACTTTTACATGTTCTTGTTTGTTGTCAATCCTCAACATGTCCCAATAGTTCCAGTTTCCTTCTCATCACTGCCTGCGTCATCAGGTCGTCTTCTTTTCTGTGCAACCGTTTTCCTACGTCTACGTTTCGATGCAGCATCCTCCTGTAGCAACGCATTTCGAATGCCAATATCTCTTTTTACTCAGTGACAGTAACTTAATTAGCATCGGCATGTATTAAACCACAATGCAGCGGATATGCACGATGCCGCACGCGCTTTATTGTTGCTTGAGCATTGTTGTTACTTGGAAATGCAGAGGCACACCAGCCTCGGTCCCTTTTCATTCTCCTTACTGTGTTTAAATACCTAAATAACAGGAACACACCTTGCCCCATGGCTGGAGTTTGGAGGGGGGGTGCACGGGGGGGAGCAATGCCCCCCAAAACTGAACACCTGTAATTTATTTTCAGTAGTTTACAATGAAGATTTAAAAAAATATATAAATTATTATATACGCTTATGCCTTGCCCCCTTCCAACGCCTCCGTCCACGACAAATATATACCACACTGGACAAAATATACCCAAGACCTTTGGGGATTAAATTGGGACTGCGTTCCTGTTCGGGCAATGACAAATCACTTGGCGCTACATTGCTGGGCTTATTCATATACACGTTACATCGTGACATAAATCCTTGTCAAAGGAAAATTTCTTATACAGATATGCTAATCGAAGCAAGTAAACAATAAGCATGTTTGTATAGCCTAATTTACTAACTGTAAGTTTAATGCTCTGATTTGCATGATGGAAATATCCCGGCCAGATGTGTATACAACAAATAACCGAGAGTTAGTTGTACTTACAAATATCAGTATATGTTACTGTCACTGAGTAAAACGTAAGATTTCGGTATTTCGGACAATTGCATTTTTCAGGAAATATTTAGTTTTATAAAGACAGGGGGAACAGCGGAATTTTTTTTTGGCAGATGAACGCCGTGCAGATCGTGGAAGTTACTCTGACCATGGGTCATTTCAGTTTGTTGAAGGCAGGGATAATAAAAGTAAGGTCTATGTACGTACAGGACAATAGTGATATTAGTAAGTAAGTCAAACTCAGCTGTGCATCTTGCGCCATTCACACAAGGCCTCACGGCGCTCTACAATACAATCATAATACGAACTCTTAACATTAAATTGAAGAAGAAAACAACAACAACAACAACAACCTGACACAGATGGATACGCGAGAGGAAATGAATGTTTTTTCGGATGAGCCCTAAAAAAATTTGACTGAGGACAAGAGATTTCACAAACGAGGCGCGTTTGCCACCCGCTGAACGCAGATGTGTCCTTGGTGCACTATTGTTCTGCTCTGCCGTCTGCCACCCCACGACAGCCCCATAGTATGTAACACCTGATAATTGTTTTTTTACCCTTTTATCTGCCAACAAAACTGACACCTTTTTTTACAAGGAGTCATGTTTGCATAGACCACAATACCTGCAGTCATAATGCAAACCAAAAACATAACTCTGATAAAGTATGCACTGTCCTTGAAGTTGATTGGTCCACACCCAAGACAGCTTTCCTTAGAGCCTAGTCTCACATGGTGTTGGACCAGATGACGCCAAAAGACGCTCTAAGGAAAGCTGTCTTGGGTGTGGACCAATCAACTTTAAGGAGTTATGTTTTTTGTTTGCATTATGACTGCAGGTATTGTGGTATATGCAAACATGACTCCTTGTAAAAAAAAGGTGTCAGTTTTGTTGCCAGATAAAAGGGTAAAAAACCAATTATCATATTTTTTTACTGGCAAATGAGGTTCCAATGGTATGTAACACCTGTTATGCATGGTGGTCGCCTATGCCAGGAATTGTTCACACGACGCAGCTTGTATCGAAACCACCCCCTGGTGGATGCACAGTGAATGTCCACAACAGTCGCGCGTGAGGACAGACGAACTCGCAGTCACGGGGTGTCCCACAAACTCCAGTCTTCGCGATCCATGCGCGTTGACACACTTTACTCCCATTCAAATACACATCAACTCGTTCCACGCTGCACGCGTCCGATGATTGTTGAACATGACGCGCTAAGCAATTAACGCTGTTTACGTTATTCGGGCCGATTCAAATACATATGGAATTCTGTGTGTGTGTGCACGTGTTCTGCGGGACGCTACTCACGATAAGAGGGCTTCAGGGGTTCGTGTAAATTATTATAGAAAAAAACAGTGCAATTGCACAAAGATGTTGATGAAGTCAACACTCATCTGCAATCTTAAGTCTACCTTCAGAATATGAACAGTAACCCTCTCTCCAGCATGCACACCTGCCAATAACGTTTAGAGAGGAATAAGATTATTCACCATGAGATTAACAAAAATGTGTTTTTTTTAGCAGTAATAAAACGATCGGAAGCAAAACATCGCATTCATGTTCCAATGCTTTTGTTGGTGTTCCTGTGCGGTGCTGTGCAGTGCTCCGTGGACATCTATGAAAAAGAGCTTTATAGTTCATCGGATTTCTCCAGTATAAATAAAGAATCTGATTTTTATCTCGGTTCAATTTGGGTTGTTTCTTTTTAAAACTTATTTTTCATTTATTTTAAAGGTTCATGTGCGAATACCTTTCGTCTAAGTTGATTTATTTTAGTTTATTATTTCAGTCCTTAAGGCCGACCTGCACTGCATGTCGTGCACCCTGTGCTTCCTGCACATGTTTATGTTGTAATATTTTATCTTTTTATCATTTACATTTAACTTCTAGTTGATTTTCTTGAGGTTGTAAGTGCATTTCATTTCCAGTTACATTTTATTTTGTGTCATTATCTTTTCTACGGCCTTCCTGTGTGGGCCGAAGTGTAAAAGCGCAGCCGTGCATTTGTTTCCGCGAGAGAGGGCTCTTGAAGGTATTTGGCCTACTCTTCCACGCTGGCCAGACGTCTCGGAAGAGTTTGGAGTACCCACAATTTACTGCAGCACACGATACCTGTCCCTACCGATCGACTGACTGTTGTGTAACTCTTGATATTGCTGGTTAGAGTCCAGCGTGCCAACCATCGCAATACTTAAAAAACACCTTCACTTGCATCAGTATCGTCACGAGCGTGGGGGCAGGGGGTGCCTTGGCCCCCCTGGTGGCTACATCTACGAGTTGGGGCCTCCTTGACAACCGCCATGAGTTCTGTTTTCAACAACAGTGAAAATAACATAACACCATATTTTAAAAGCGGTTTTAAATAATTTTTAGTGAAAATGCTTTCACATAGAACACGTTTTCTGGGACATTTATATAATTAAATACGCGCCAATTGTATTGCAAGGAGACAACTACGGAGCTGTAGTGGCTGCGTTGTGCGAAGAGGGAGCGACCCCTACAGCGTTAGATGTTCGAGACCGTGAGAGTAACGACGATGCGATTCGGTCAAGAGGAGTCGGATAATATTTATTTAGCCTCTTAGGTGCGAGCGTACGAGACGAATCAAATATTGTGGCCCCACCTGACCAATTTCCGCACCACCTGAGCGGCCTAATGTAGTTAGGCCACTAACTTGCGCGCTCGAATGATGATTTAACATACCTGTCAACCCATAAGGAATTGCTCTTTGGTTCTTTCGGTAATGTCGCGTAGAAAGAAAATAAATGAAATAATAGAGTACGACGTTTCGATTGCAAGACAAGCTACCGTCATCAGGAAGAACGATTTTTTTGTGTTTCTTCCTTGTGATGTGACTTTGTAGAATGAACGTTGAGATTTATAAGGGCACGGGGTGATCAATAAGGTCTCAATTGGCCTGTAATAAGGGGCCGTCCATAAATGACGTCACGCGATTTTGGACGATTTTTGATCCCCCCCCTCCCCCCCTAAAATATGACGTCACAAAGCTCTGCCCCCCCCCCCCTGGGTGCGTGACGTCATTTATGGACAGCCCCTAAGTTAGGGCACTGATAAGTCCATACTATTCTGGCAAATCGCTCGATGATGCCGGATGTAATTACCAGCGAAACGTCGTACTACTCAAATTGTAAATGTTGTGGATTTACTCTCCAACACACCGGTGGGCTGAAGTAGTATACTACACTTTACACACTGATATACACTACACATTACACTAAACTATACACTATACTAGTAACTAATTGGCGTTTGTTCACGCGACAAATCCCTTACTAATTGTCTGTGTCGGGTGGTGGAGGCTTACGACACAACATTTATACTTACGCGATCTAACCAAAAAACATTTATTATTAACAATATTGGTCGCGAAAGCCTACGTGCTAAACTCACTTAAACGTCCCGCAACGAACTCGCAGGTCACGTGGCCCCCCTCCGCCCCGCCCCCCGCCCCCACCCCCCTCCCTCCTCCTCCTCCCACAAGGCACTGCGCGGCGAAGATGGCGGAGCAGCAACAGCAGCAGCCGGAGCAGGTTAAGCTCGCAGTGCAAGGTTCGTGTTGAGTAGTGAGAGGGCTTCGTCGATACAACCAAAATAAAACCACACACGCAGTCCTCTCTCGCGGGGGGGGGGGGCGTGTAGCGTGGGGAACGACACGGAAGCCGGCGAGGGTTTTGAGTTGAAGCGGTCGGGCGGGCGGGCGGGTGGTAGAAAGTGCGGCGGGGTTTTCCTAGCGAGGGCCCCGTGGACGCGGCCCTGTCTCTCCCGGCGACAAAGGCGGCGGTCCCGAGGCCTCGAGTTTAGCGCCGGGCAGTGTTGCCGACGTTACAATATATACACAGACGTGTACACATGAGTGGCAGTGACGATACACTCGCAGGGTTGGTGCGGGGATTTTAAGAAATTGTTGGTTTCCGAGGGTAAGCGGCACCTGAGCAGATGCCGTGGTGACGGGGGTTGAGGGGTAATCGGTGTTATTTGTCATCGGTATTGGTTTTATATATTAGCACCGTTGATGAAAACATACTCAATCGCGCCCGACTGTGAAAAACTTGGCCTGGAGCTTCCTGAATGAAAGAGTCGTGAACCCCCGTAGAGGCTCTCGTGGGTGATGATGACAATTGCAAATAGTTGTGCTTGCTGGCACCCGCCATATTCATGTTATTTTCTCCGCTGGTGTTGAGGACCACCGGTCGAAACGCACGTACGGCGTGTACAGCACTTCCTCGTGGTGTTATTGTTACGTTCGAGCGCGGACACACCGTGTTTAGGTTCTTAGAATGTTAGTGGTGCAGTCGGCGTCGTACAAATCCAAATGGGGACTCATTTCTAGGCAGGATCAGTGGCATCCCCGTGCCAAGAGAATCGTGACTCTGGGATATGACGCCACGCGACTTGTGACTTGGGAAGACCCGACGACATTGGGAAGTTTAATTTATATTCTCTGCCTCGTGTTCGTCGCATGCCGACCGAACTGAATTTATTTTTGCTTCTCAAAAGCTGGAATAAGACAAAACTGATTGTTTTTACACCATTGGAACCTCCTTTGCCAGTAGCAAAATATGATAATTGGTTTTTACCTTTTTATCTGGCAACAAAACTGACACCTTTTTTTTTTTACAAGGAGTTATGTTGTGGTCAATGCAAGCATGAATCCTTGTAAAAAAAAATTTCAGTTTTGTTGCCAGTTAAAAGGGTTAAAAAACTATTAAAACTGATTGTTTTGTCTATGCAGCCACTGGTGTGTTATGAGCATAAGCCACGCTTACACATATTCCATGTTGCTCGCGGGCAGCTGAAACCCGGATTCAAACCCAGATTCTCGGCAGTGTTGACTTAGTGCTCTGACCATGAGCCAACGAGCCACTTGGACACGTTGACTTGCTGGTCGTCTCTTATTCTAACTGACCCAGAGTTAAAGTAACCACCCTGGTCACCCATGATCAAACAAGCCCAATGCCATTGTTGTAATGCATTTCAGCAAACAATTACATTTAGCTTTCACTCTTTTTAAATATAATTTCAGTATACAATATATGTCTGGAGTTATCGATATCTAGTGAACCACTCGTTTCATTGCACGGAGTGTCATATAGCTTTAAGTGAGAGAGACCTGTTTCAATTGCACGGGGTAATGTCGATTTCCAAGAGTGTGCGTTGCATAATTTCCATGACTGGCTTGAGTCAAGTTCTGCCAAGCTGGAAACTGCCGAGCAACAATATGGGGGCAAGCTCCACACCTGCAGCCATTGGACACGATGCTCAATATACAAATGGGTCGATGTTAAATCGGCCTTGACAATGCCTACCTTGCTTCCCTCCTATTCCACTTACCACGTGACCTTGTAGCATGTTAACTAAACCAAGTGGCATGCTGTTTTGTTACAAAATATAGCAGGAAAGCTGTAGGGTCGGGTATTCATGGCAATGTAGTTTTCAAGCTTCAGTGCTATGGACAGGCAGTTGAACAAGGTGTGTGACAGTGCGGCTCTCACTGCCGAAGTACCCATTAAGATAGGAGTGGTTGCAGGGTTGGCCCAGCTAAAAGCAGGTAATTCACTTCTGAATGTTCCCCAGCCCTCCAGGTGAACCATGCACAAACTGTTCTGTCAATAGAGAGATTGCATGGGGATATGGGCCGTCTGAACTTGCCAAGTTCCAGCACGGTTTACAATTATCTAAGAAAATGGGGGCATTGACAGGTTGCGAGGGCCTGGAGGAGAAAGGGAGTTTATAAATGTTTCCTTCATAGATACGATATCACAATGGGGTTATGATTGGTGATTTTAAAACATGCCATTATAAGTAATTTGGTCAATACTTGCATCTCTTAATTTAGGCTTTGACATGCGCAATAATGGTGACCTATTGATATTGGTTTGTGTAGAGCACACTTACAGTTGGAAGGCTTGGGGTAATTCACCTGGGAAATTCTGTCCACGGCACCTAGAATCAAACATTATACACACGCTAACCTACTCCATGTTGGCCATGGGGATATCCAGGTTCCTCGGCTACTTTAAATACATTTATAGCGATAAATACGTAAAATCATTCACTTTAAGGGCAGGCGAATTTAACTGAATCAGATCATGCAAACATTTTTTTAGTACCCGAATTGTGTTTACAATCCTAGCAAATTGCAACCAATGACAGAACACGATGGACTTAAATGAACTGAGGAAAAAGTCTTCTTTACAGTTGTTGGGTGGAGCAGTTGGAGGGGGGTGTGGGGTGGCGCTTGGGATTTGGCAGTGCATGTGGCACGAGTTTCCATGGATTTTCATTGTCAGATCTACAATGGAATTGCCTTCTAAAGGAAATAAGGGAAATTACTGAGGCCCCATATCCCATTGAAGGCAGTTGTCATTCCGCATAATGAGTTTAAATAGCTATGATATTTAAATAGATTTTTGGCTTTTGAATGTATTTTGATGCCTCAGGATAACGTTGCAATCTGAGGCGGGAAAACACAAAAGGCTACAGGTAGAAATATGTACTGTAGTTCAATTGATGCATAGATGTATTATATATTTGTCATCCCATTGAACTGTGATATGGACTGGCATAATATTTGATAGTAGAGAGAACATTGTAAACTATTTTGCTAACATGAACTAATTCTGGCTGTCCCTTTACCAACCTGCACTGACAAGCATGGTGCATTATCGTAAAGCAACCTCCATTACTGACATGGTTATTTATTTTTCTGTTTGTAGAAATCCAAATCAATAATTTCATATTAATGAAAGAATAAAAGTAATTTGACCTTGTAAGATATACTTCCTGTAAAACGGTACATTAACGAGGTAAGATACACTGCATATTATTGGAATTTAAGTTCTAGCTTTGTGGCAGGATTTTACACATACCATTTGACGACACAAGACCTTGCCTATGCAACTAGTGCTAACACTACATCTTCACAGTTGGAAGCATCTCAACGATTTTTGCCACGTGAACAGCATTCATTAACGTTCCATTAATATCTAAAATTATATGGAATAGCACTTGTAAGTGACAGTTTATTTCTGGCATTTGAGGTGGAGCGGTATAGCATAGTGGACTGCGCACTGCGCTGTGAACCCAGTGAGCTGAATTTGATTCCCGGCCACGGCTAACATCAGTGGCAAGTTATATCTGATCTAATTCTGTCTGTCCCTTCGCCAACCTGCGCTGACAAGCATGGTGCATGATAGTAAAGCAACCTCCATTACTGAAATGGTTAAGGTGTATTCAGTAATGCCTTCATCCATCAATGTATTTACAAACAGCTGTAATTAAGCATTATATGTAAGGTCATATTTATAACTTTAGTTGACCATTGTGTTTTGGTGGCGTTTTATAGTTGAAATTATAGTACATTTACATATGCAATATTTAATGTCTAGCATAGATATTAAGATATATTTATCGTATATCTTACACGGTTCCTTGCATACCACTTTTGTATTTTTCTGACTTTTCAATAATGCTTCTCAAAAAACTGTTGGAACAAAAATGAGCATTTTAAATACTTGTCATTCGTTTTAATGACCGTGACTGATGTATGAACAGGTTGTTTTGGGCTTGGAAAAAACAAAGTGCTTGTCCATACACCTCGAACGATTATTCCTCTTGGCTATTCCTAGGATTTGAGTAAAAGTAGCATTTAAATCTGAAGCGTTTGTAAAACTTTGTAATTCGATATTGAGCTACTCACCTGATGCATTCATGTGAATTATTTTTGTCGGTTTTAGTAGACGACACTCAAGCGTATGATGAAGCCATTATCGCCCAACAAGAGAAAATCCAGCAAGAGGTAATTTCAGTTTTGCATCGTAAGTTATTTGAAAAATATTGTAAAATGTTAACACTTCCTTAACACTATAACATATATTGTAATTCTTAAATATTTCATGTTTTTTGTGTTTTTGAGAACACACTTCAACCAACATGTTTGTTTTTCAGATTGCCATGGCAACACCTCTAGTCTCAGACAAGCACGACATATCTGTTCTAATGAGGGAATACAATGATGATGATGAAGTTTACCAAAAAAAGATCAAGGTATTATTTTGCTTTTCTCCATCGGTGATTTTTTTTATCTTCGCTTCACAATCCACTCCTTTGCTGATGACTACTCTTCATCGTCGTCGTCATTAAAATCACAAGCAGAGAGTAATAGACTCTTAAATTCCGAAAGTGCCAAAACATCACTACTGGCTTGAACACATTTCTTGAATGGGTTGACAAGTGCCTGCACAAATTATATACAATGGATATGAAATCAAGAATGTACAAATCAAGAATGTATATGAAGCAGAAATTCGCTATTCTTACATGCCCCTTTCTCATGTACGTTTTGTGGGTGTAAAAACCGATGAATCGATGCATTTGTCATTCCAATAACGTTTAATGATGTTGATCGTGTCCGTAGTGAATCTATCGAATGTGCTGGGCATGCTAATTTATCATGCCGAGTCATGGAGCAGCTAAGTAATGCATCTGGCAAAGCAGACATCGAGAAGCTAAAGTATGTTTTGAGTCAAAGGCTTCATCGCTTCTGGCTAGTTACTTCTACTGTTATAGAATTAACTTGTACTGTTATAAAGCACTGATTTGGCTGCAGTTGTAATGCTGTGCTCATGTCTTGGATGTAGCCCCTGTTTCATATATTTCAAGCAGTTCAATTGGGTCATGATTCTACACTCACAGATTCACTCCAATCACTTACCGTCATTATTCAGTTGCTTTCGTATCGCTTTAATTGCTAAGACCGAAGTAATTGCTTGCGTGAGCTGCACACCTTGATACCTCACCACATTTTTGCGGACTCGTTCTGCCAGATCGACTGGTTCTGCTTGTGCATGCCTTATTGTAGATTGCATATTTCTTCTTCTTTCCTGTGGCGGCTCGGCTTTGGAATTCCGACATCTCTCTATCCAGGGTTCCTATAACCTCACTCAATTAATTGACGCTCTGTATGTTGCTGCCTGCATCACATTATTCAGACCTTTAGGCGTACGCTCGGCATGTGATTACCGGAACAAAACGATACATTTGCAAAACCATTAAAGGTACGAATTGTTTGATGTTTAAACGTACAGTATAATGTGTTTTCAATAATTGTTGGCTTGCGATTGAATTCTGCAGGACTTGTGCAACAAATACTCTCACATCAGGATGACGCGACGGGACGGCAACTGTTTCTACCGTGCCTTTGGCTTTGCGCATCTCGAGGCACTGATGGACAACCCGAAAGATCTTCAAAAGTTTGTTTACTTTAGACCTCACGTCTGAGGAAGCCTGAGATCGAACCTTTTTTTTCCGCATCAACTGTATATACATCATTTCGATTTAAAGCTTTCGTGACTGCAGGGATTCATCTTCTTGGTTCTTTCGGTAAAGTCACGTAGAAGGGAAATAATAAAATAATATTTTATTATGCACGATGCTTTTTGGTGAGTTACGTTAAAACGTCTTTCGTAACTTTACGCGAAAAAAACCCTGTAATTCGATATTTCAACAGGTTTAAGGCTGTTGCAGCAAAAAGTAAAGATGAGCTGGTGTCGTTGGGTTTTCCTGAATTCACGATAGAAGATTTTCACAGTACGGTGAGTTTGGTTAGACTGTTTTGTCTTGAGAAAAAAAAACTACTTTGAAAGTACAATTTTCTTGTTACACTAAAGGAAATAATATTGTCACTCTATATGTTGACCAACTTTGCAATTTGCTGTTGTCCTTTATTTTTTGTAGTTCTTGGATATCATCGAGATGGTAGAGAAGCAGGCCTCTCTCGAGGATGTGCGTGGATCCTTCAACGAGCAGAGCACATCCGACTACGTTGTTGTCTACCTACGCCTTCTTACCTCTGGCTACCTCCAGAAAGAATCTATATTTTTTGAACACTTTGTGGAGGGTGGACGGACTGTTAAGGAGTTCTGCAGCCAGGTTGGCAGAAACGTCTGTGTGTCGATTGACATTGATGGGTCCGATTTTCACACAAAAACATGCCGCTCTTAATGTTTTGTGTTACGACATAGAATTGTACGGGAATATTTTAAAGTCAAATTTCCAATATCTTGGTGCTCATCTGACAAGTGGCATTTTGGGTTTTTAGCTGTACTCTGTAGTTAAAAAGCATAAATGTTCAATATTTTGATAATTTAAAAAAAAACACACAATTTCATTGGTTGTTTCTGCAGTGTTGGTTTTTGTTTGTTTGGAATCTCAAGTGAAAAAAATATCTGACAGATTCTCAGAAAAACGTCTAACCATCCATATGCCTAATTTTCTTAGTTCATGAAGGGCATGTGCAAATATAAATTGTGTGAAGCTCTTGTAATACGTTGAAATTGAGTGTAATACAATACTAAATGCAGCTGATAAATTCGCAGGTGTTATATATTTAATACCGTGTCTAAATGACGTTTCTACGTAAAAACAAGCATGATAGCATTACATTTTTCTTGCTGATGTTACACACTATAGCTCTAGTAAATTCTAAAACTTGAAACCATACGGTGATGGGGTTTTTTCCTCCCCATTGATTGCAAGAGCCATTTCCATGACCGATCGTTGTCGTTGTGGCAGGAGGTTGAGCCGATGGCGAAGGAGAGCGACCACATCCACATCATTGCACTGGCGCAGGCCCTCGGCGTCTCCATCCGCGTGGAGTACATGGACCGGGGAGAAGGCGGTTCTGTCAACCATCATGACTTCCCCGAGGGTACAGAGCCCTTTGTCTACCTGCTGTACCGCCCAGGACACTACGACATCCTTTACAAGTGCTAGACAAGCGTGCGTGTAGCCCCCATGCGTTGTGTGTGCGCGCGCGTAACAACATGTGAAAAGTTTTTGTGTGTTGCACGAATGCCCCAACCTTCAGTTCCAACTTCTGAGCATTAAGGCATCCTGGTACTGGTTTTAAAATGCATAATTTTGCAATTTGTTTGATCCATGGTAACAGATAAAAACAAATTGAAAGTTTCATCCCTGGTTTCTTTTTGCCTTGTATCGTAAGAGGGCGATTTAACATCCTGTACAAATACTGTAATCACGACAAAACATGCCGCATACATAAATATACCAACTTAGATCTTGCCTGTTGTGCTGCCTTTTTAATTGCTACTTGCTGTAAAAATCCCCTTTTCTTGCAATTCATGGTGTTTCTGTTTAATGTGCTTCTGATGTAATGTGCTTCAATGTACATAACCTACCCTTCATTGATAAAGTAATGCATACATTGCACATTTTCTGAGTTGTATTTAAGAGTGATATTGCCCAAACAGGTAAGAAACAACAGGTTTGCTTTTTGGAATCTGTCCTCAACAGATGTTAATATTCGTTTATAATTAAACCGTTTGCCATTGCAGTCATTTTCATTGAAATACCTCGACAGTTCACAATAAATTAGGGAAAATTTTCAGCACACTTATTTAACGTCTTGTGTGTTCTTGAATTGCCAAGTGTAACTTATTTTCACATCTGTACCCCTGATTATTTGTTAGCCTTGTAAACATGTTGCTACATCTGAGGCAAATGTGTAAATAATGGGGGGGGGGAGGGTGTGCTGGTTGGATTGATCACAATCGTTTATCCATGAAAAGCATCGTTGAGTCTCAAGACTCTTTTTCAGGAGGGTCCTGCCAAGATTTCTTGTTGGTGATGTTATTTAAGTCACAAACAATGCTTTTTAATTGGTTTATGCTTTTGAGATGGGTTGTAATTTGATCAGCTTAACAGCATTCCATCTTTAAAAGCATATGGTTAAAATGTGGAAATATGGTAATAAACTGTTACTCTCTGGCTTCTAAAAGCTGACAAATGGTGCATTTACAATTACCGTGTAATAAAATGAATTGATATTCTTGAAAAGCAAAGGAAATATTGTCTATGTAACACGTATTTTAAAATATGAGCATATACAAAGTTGAACACTTGAGGGTGACTGCTTGGTAAAGTGAACATTTTTAAACAAAATATTGTAAAGTGTTCACACGTCTTCAACTAAAGGTTATAATTGATCCAGGTTTGCCAAATACATTTTACAAAACATTACAACCCCTACATAATGGCTCATTACAGTAGTGTCATTGTAGAACTGGCCAGATTTGGTGGAAAATATGGGGAGCATTGGTGTGGACACCGACAAAGGTGCGTGTAAGTGGCCAGGATGATTTTGCTCGTTTAAATGGTTGTAAAATATTTCAGTGATTTTAATTTTTTTGTTTAAAGATTTAATTTATCATTAAACCATCTGTAAATGATCGAATGAGATCATCTCTGTATCCTTCCCAAAACAGATTGTCACTCAAGCAACATTAATGTTCAGATTATTTGTACCAACACATGCTTGTGCATGGAAAGCACATCGTCTTAAGCATCATTTCAGGCATCCTGCGTATTTTTCTTTGTGCTTGGGATATCCACCAGCCAACAGTAATGCTGAAAACATTGCACATTTTGTAAAATATTGATCCAGTGGCGTGCTCGTTCCTCGTGCGCGCACGTGTGGTTTATCTTTGCGCAGCTCATTTACACGTGGACCGATCGGTGATGCAGCAGTTATGGGTCTTTTTTTCTGTTGGGTTTTTGTTTAGCGGTGTTGGCCAACTTTGCAACCAAATTCCATGGTTACCACGCATTAAAGACTGTTTTCAATTCAACATGTACGATGGATTCAAGTGTTCTAATTTAAATGTGGGTCAGCTGGTCATTTACCTTAAAAAGCCAACGCCTTTGAAGCTGAATTCTTAAGCAATTCTACCTTTCTGTGTCTATAGTTAATTTTATATTCAGCCTCGTAAGCAAAATTAAAGGTATGACAATAAAGACGATGCAGACGTTTGAATTTGCGTGTAATTGTCCCAAAACGGTTCAAGTTCACAGTCTCCCAAACCAGCCAAGTATGTTTTGGTTCTTGAGGTATGATGGGCAGCTTTATTTTTCTTCATACAAGATATCTGCACTCTACAAACAGGTTATACATTGTCATAACTTTCATTTTATTACGAAGCCTCCAATAAAAAGTTTCGTTTCTACCAGAATGCATGGCGTGTGCTCCCTTTTATTTTAAATGAGGGGGGGGAGGGCAACTTTGTAGATGTTTCGAGTATGGTATTAATCCTGGTCATTTTAGATGTGTAAAAATCATGGTTACAATTAGGAATTGATGCAAGTGTATCAAATCACATTTTAATGTTTGGGGAAAAAAAGTAAAACATTTTAATGCTTAAATGGCATTTTCAAACATTTGGACAAGGATCAACAATACGTTTGCTAAGCTCTTAAGAATGTGAAGTGTGTCATCACTGCTTGGGATCTGCCACTCGGCCCATGAAGATCACAGCTCTCGTTTTCTCATCGTATATGAGCACCACAAAGGGCCTGTCCACGGTCACCGTTGGTGGCATGGATATAGGCATGATGCCAACGACGGTCTCGGCCTTGGCCTCTGTCCCTTCCTCGTTCACATGCAACACTGACTTATGAGTGATCTGGAAGAAAAGAGACATGTGGGTGCTTAGCAACACAATTTTTTTTAATGCATATTAATTATCGGTTTTTATAACATTGCCTGAGGTGGTTACAGTCCAAGGAATGTCCTCGGTTCAACTCGTCACATCAACCGTTTGTAATCAGACAATCTGGTCATGGATTGCATGTCATTGTGCCTTGGCAATTGCACAAGAGGCATGCTACTTCAAAATTAAAGTATACATTAACCTGTGAGTTATAAATAATAGCATCTGCCAAGTTGGTTGTGGACATTTCTAGGATGCCTAATTTGAACAGGTTTTGTGTATGAATGGTGAAAGTGTCTCTCCATTCTTGAGTTATAAGACATGAATGCCTTGTTTCCACCGCTAGTGGGGACCATGCCGAGTTTGTTCGCATTACCCAGCTTGGCTCAGGAGAGGGTGTGTTTGAAATCCCAGCCTGGCCACACTGAATCCCATGGTATTCCGGAACCCCAACGCTTGTGGGGCCATTCCATACACTTCTAGCCAGGGCACGCCTGGGACAGTTTTGCGTCACGGCGTCAACACATATGCGGAATGCATTTGCCGTGACGCCACTAGCTTTGCATTTCATCAGCTAAAAATTCATTCGTACTACAAATTACAAAAGTGATATCCTGACTCTCATCCCGTGCCGACACGGAGTAAAGGAAATTGATTAGGGGAGGAGCACAGCCCTGGACCTTGAGGTGAAAGGATTGGTGGTTTGTGTGGACCAGGACCTGGGCCCTGGTGTTGTTTCTGGACCAATCTGGGCCATTCCTGGGCTGCAAGAGTAGTTTTCAGTGGTCATGGAAATAAGGAATCAATTAAGCAGCTACTAAATTTTACAGGCTCTGCACATTTGGGAAATGTGACATGAAAAAACTGAACACTTTATTTTACGGAAAGGCGAGCTCACATTGCAAACTTTTGTATCACGGCAAGAGAAGAGACTCCACTCTCTAAGAACAACTGAGCTTCACAGGGCTTTGAATGCACCCTTGTTGCTGCACGTGAGAACAGGTATGCTGTTTCCACAACCACACGCCAGCTTACCTTGTCCACGTGTAGCTTCTGCATGCCGGTGATCCGAGACAAGTCTGCTCCGTAGCTGAACATGCTGGACATCCCCATTGCACTCAGGTAGGCTTTCAGGTCATAGGACACGCTGATCTTGAATTTTGGAAGAGATAGCTGGACATAGTGGTTGCTGTAAGAGTTTAAATGTGTCAGGCCACTGTAGGTATTTTGACAGTCATGGCATGGGTTGGTCCCACATAGGCATTCACACATGTCACAGTGCAGTATAAAACACTTGATATAATTTCATTGTTTCTCACATTGCGGTTTTATGTGGGCGGTGAGGGAAGTGCATGGGGGCACTTATGAGTCATGCTGTTTTATTTATGCTGTTTTATTTATGGGAAGGACATTTATAAATGGTTATTCAGGAAAGTATTGACATTTACATCATAAAAGCCATTTTCCTGATTAAACCTCATTATTAATCTGGTCATTTAACTTTGCTTGTTAGTAAAAACAAAACAAATGGGCTTTTTTATTATTATTATTAAACGTAGCTTGTACAGCACTGATGTGGAATATTTTCATAGTGGCTAGGAACCTTTCGAAAATTAGCTCTCGAGATATAACATGCTATGCGTGAAGAGGTACAAAAAGGTGTATGTTTTTTTGGCCTCAAAGGACCTTTACTTGCCTTCTGTAAATGCAATAGATCCATTGATCCGTATCACTTAAACCATAACAACAAAGGCTCCTCTGTAAAATGTGGAATTTGCAAGAATCAAAGACATTGCACTGGTGAGATTAATTATGTAAGTAGACATACAACTCTGACAATCCACTGTTAGATGACGGCCTCCCAACATCATTTGGGTTATGGGGTGGTTAACCATACTTCTGAAAATGAAGCAATCAATTTGACGATTTTGCAACGAACGTTACACTTTTGCACAGTCGGTGGATAAGCGCTGCCCTCGACTGTGAACCAACCAGAGATCAACTGAAAGGACCTCAGAGATAGCTTCGTGATACCTGCTTCTGCGGATCATTCTCTAACACCAAGGGTTGCACTACTCTGCAACAGACCCGAACGGATACTTCGTCTCATTACATGATGCCAATAGCACAAATTGGGATAACATTGTTGGGGCTGGGGTGGGATAATAATGATACTTTAAAGCTTTCGTGACTGCAGGGATTCATCTTCTTGGTTCTTTCGGTAAAGTCACGGTGACTTTACCGAAAGAACCAAGAATAATAATGATACTAATTTGCTGATGTCATTGCACCTGCAATCATTGTGCTTATGTCGTACACTTTTCGTACCTGGGACCCAGCAAAGAGAGCCACTCCTCCAGCTGCTCCTGGGAGACGCTCTCCTCCACCTTGGGCAGGTCCTCTGTCCTGTGTGGAACGATGACCAGCATGCTCGCGCCGCCCTCATACGGCAGCTTGACGACTGTGGAACGCAACTTGCGGTCCTGTGTGTAGCTGAGCTTGGCCCTTTGGTGCATTGTGGGCACCATCATCGAGTAGCTGCTGTTGACCCAGAAGCGGACGTTCTTCGTGAGGTCGGGTTCAAACTTGTTTTCCCACGATCCTGGTGACGAATAATTCACATGTTCAGACATTTAATATGTGTGTGCTGCTAAAGGAAGGAAGGAGAATCACAGTTCTTTGAAGCGCATCAGATCTCAGAAGCTTAGTGGGTTTAAGCTTGGATAGTACTTTGATATGTGATCACCATGCATAAACAGGTTGTGTGCAGTTGAGTGCAGTGCAGTCAAATCCATTAGTGTATAGTAATGTACAGTACTCTCTCGTCTGTACTCATCTTCACCAACCCACTGACCAGCATGGTGAAGTTTGTTTTAAAACCTCAGCAGTGGATTGACAAAATTTACGACATTTTGGCTAACAATTAAAACGTCTATATTTGCGAGTTTTATATTTGTTTTATGTCATGGTCACAAACAGATTTGGTTCCACTCATACAATAACGTGTTAGAAATATCAGAGCAGAGTCAACACCTTTGTGGTGCTCTTAATGTTGGACTATCCGCATATATATACTCAGCGTTTACTTTGGCGCTATTGTATTATTGTTATAAATCTCATCGTGGTATTATATAAATGTAGAGTGCAACAAGATAGGCCTGTTATAGACATGCATGCCTTTACTCTAGTGGTAGTGCCGTACACCAATAATCCCTACTCCTAACTCAGCCTAGCAGCGTTCCGTAAAAGAAGAAACGCCTGAGACATCAAGCTCCATTTCTTGCTTCTCAACGGGCGAATGGACATGCCACACCTCGTGACACCAGCGACACGGGTTCGATTTGGGATTGAACGGAAAGAGTAGCAGAAGCTGTTAATAGCTGAGACTGTGGGGAATTCTATAAATGGATCGGTCCACCCTAAACACGCCGAGGCTGACTGAGTTACAGCCTCTCCTGCGGAAGTCATCATCTCCTCCCGAATTATAAGATGTACATTTTCCTCCTGTGAACGTTGGGGGTGCGTTTCATAATCCGTTAAAACACATTTGTGTACGTTTATTGGCACATGTCAGAGGTTTGGGTGGGAGTGCGTCTTAGATTATGGAGCGTCTTGTTAATCCGGAGAACGTCGACTCAATACCGTAACTACACTGTTTGGTTAAAATAAAATAAGACTACATTGCGGCACATGTGCCGCGTAAAATGTTACCCCTTGTTTAATAGGGAGCCAGTTGGCTCCAGCAAATTTACGTCTGCCCGTTAGTCTGAGGACACCTCCAAATTGTCACGAACACTACAAAACAATAAACCTACCGCTACGAAACTTTACCACGCTGCTTAACGAATGCCAATATCCAGATCCGTATGGAGGTTTTTTTGGACAAGATTGGCAATATATATGTATTTAAAAAAGTTTCGTATATTTTTTTATATCTTTCAAAAAGATTATTGTGCTCCTTTCCCAGCGAGTTTAGGTCGAGCGCTTTCGTAGACCGGTTTGCCAGTAACATCGCTTTTTAAAGCCATATTTGATTAAATCCACTGCTAAATGAATGGCTCCCACGCCATGTCGGTCACGGGGGTTGTTTGACCATACTTCACCACGCTTGTCAGTGCGGGTTGGTGAAGAGAGAGCTTGCATGAAACCGGTTCAGGTATTACTTGCCACTTGATGGGAACCATGGCTGGGAATCGAACTCAGGAAGCCGGGGTCGCAGCGCAGAGCCCATAGCTGTCAACCCACACGGTTTACCCCGTGTTCTTGTCCAGGTCCATACGGCGTCCAGCAGTTTCAATACGGGTAATATATTTTTTACTCATTGGTTTTTTCGGTAAAGTCACGTATGTAGAAATAAAATAACATTTAAATAAATACAATTAAATTTAATCAAAATATAAATTACATTTTATTTATTAAAATTTTATTTTATTTCTACATACGTGACTTTACCGAAATAACCAACGAGTATAATTTCTGCAGTCACGAAAGCTTCAATTCTAGATTTAACATTTGTTTTGTCT